GGATCTTATCGTTTCAATAGTATCAGTTCGAATTCATTGCAAGTATACTGCGGTTATTGACCAGTTTTTTATAAATCCGAAGTTGTAAAATGCCAGGAAATTAGGAACCAGACAATAAAAATTTCCTGTAATATCGTAGGTCTGACCAGATAATTGAGTTCTCTGGAAGATTTATTACCCTTTATATCGTTGAATGAGTGACTTTATATCACACTACAAAATGGCATTCTGTTGGCTGACTCTCCTGCCTTGCAAATCTAGAGAAGCCAAAGAAAAGAAGAAGAAAATGATTAGGAGATTTGGAATGTTTAGAATAGAATAGAGCTGGAAGGGACCTTGGAGGTCTTCTAGTCCAACCCCTGCCTAAGCAGGAGACGTAAATACCATTTCAGACCAATGGTTGTTCAATCTCTTCTTAAACAGTGGCAGGAGATCCCTCTTCTGTTTTCAATCTGGGTGAAGAAAGTGGTGACATTGAAGGATTTCCTCCTTGTTGATCTTAGTGTGTTTGATGCATTGGGGAAATTGTTCTGGGGAATGTATTTGAGTGGGTTGAGCCATTGACCAGGTTTCTGAGTTTCCTCTGCAGGATTTTGGTAGTTTGTATGTCAGTGTTCCAGGTAGAGACACAATTGGGCCTAAGGAGATCCCCTTCTTGTATATTTTAGGGAGTCCGTAGAACCTAGGTGTTAGCTGTTTTTCTTTTTCCATGTTGTGGTTAGCCAGCAGCAGGTGCGGACAGCTGAGGAGAGCGAGGACATAGGTGAGGGGCCAGGACCATTAGGGACTGGACTGCTGCCATCAGAGATTGTGGGGGCTGGCAGCAGCAATGAGGAGGTTCCCGAGGAGCCTGTGCCAAGTGTGCATGCGCGCAGGGCTGCTTGTAGGAAAGAGCAGCTACAGCAGCACGGGCAACTCGGGAGTAAGGCTGTAAGGTAATGGCCCCTCCTTCAAGAAGATAAAAGCCAGCTGTGAATTGGACGTTCTTTGCAGGAAGCAAAGACATTTTGAAACTCAGCCTTGTGGACATTACAGTATCTTAAGTTGGTATTTGAAGGCTCTTGTGTTGTAAAATATTTCTTATCTGTTATTCTTGGCAGTCTTGCACAGTTTTGGTGAGATTTGTGCTTATCAAAATTAATTAGTTTGCAGCAGCCTTTTAGCCGGGGATTCGTAAGAATCATTAAAAGGTTTCTGTTCCCTTGGGTTCATGTTTGTTTTATTGGAAAAGGATTTGGGTCAGAACATTCCATTTTTCTTAGGGTGTCTTTTTTTTGTTCTCTAGCTATTTTGTTGGATCATTAATTGCCTTCTGTCATGCTGCCATGAAGTCCTCAAGTGTACATTGATTGGGGAAACAAAGGGTTAGAGTTATTTTTCGTTGTGCCTTTTCAGTGATGGTTCTAATGTTAGGTGACCATTTCAGGTCCTTCTGTTTTTCCTGTAAGCTTCTGAAAGGCATCAAAGTTGACTGTTATGAAAGAACATTAAATTTTTTTATTATTTTAAATAATAAGTTCATTTAATTGATTATTATAAATTTCACTTATTTATTTTGTTTATTAATTTTATATGCTTGCCCATCTCGCCACTCAAGGTAACTAATAATATCTTTGATATGCCAAGGTCGGGGTTTTGTTGTTCCAGAAATCTCAAGAGGTGATATCAAGTTCTCATACATCAGTCAGGTTAATAAGTATGCATCTACAAATACTGCAATTTAAGCTAATTACATGCCATTTTTTTTTATAGGGACAGATATTTGTAGAGATGACTCAGCCTGCAAGATTATCCTTATAAACAGCTGAGGATACAGGTTTATCAAATATATAACTCAAATATATAATGTTCTGGAAAACGGATGGAAATCTAGTCAATGTTTAATTTTTAAATAAGATTTAAAAACAAACAAACCCTGATCTGTCAAATATAAATTTGTAAAGCTTTGGGCAGCTGTGAAATCTCATCGGGAAAAAAGTTCCATAGCCAAATGAGCTTTTCCACTCAACATACAGGTAGACCTCGACTTACAACTTACAATTGAACCCAGGTATTTCATTACCAAACTAGTAACTAGTTGATTAACTAAATGTTGCCCCGTTTTAAGACCTTTCTTGCCACCGTTGTTAGTGAATCACTGCAGTTGTTAATATACCGCCAGAGGGTGGGGGAAAACCAGCATCAAGGATGAAATGAATGATGTATCTCGGAGTTGGCTGGCTATCAGGGCTCCGGCATCCACCCCCATTCAAATCAAGAGCACTGCATCTCTCAGAGTTAAAAATAATAATAATTTATTAGGAGTGAACATGTTGGTGCCACCTGGGTGCAGCCGACTCTGAGACACATCATTCATTTCACCCTTGACCCTGGTCTTCCTCCACCCCCTGGATATATATTCTCCAATGGGACACATCCACAGCCAAGAGTCATGCTCTCCAGTAATAATCTTGTGGGCCAGATGCTTTGGCCGCCTACCAATTATCCATGAAAGCATTTAAGGAATGCACTACTTCCCCCACTTCCTTTCTGCTGACAACTCTAAAAGACCAGAGAAATATTTTTGAGTTGACATGAGTCACACGGTCGTTTAGTGAATCTGGCTTCCCGCTTGACCTTGCTCATCAGAAGGGCACAAAAGGGGATCATGTGACTTCTTTTGATGTTGTTCAGAATTCTGTCAGCAGCAAACCCAGCACTGAGAAGGCACCTGCACTGCGCACCCAAATCCAGCTGTTGTGGTTTCATTGGATGGTGATTAAAATCAAGAGGTGTGGGTTTCATGTGTGATCACCTGTAACTACCAGTATAATCTTTTCCAAAATTGCCTTGATGGGAAATGTCCGTTTAGGACCACTAGATGGCATTGCAACCCCGCTTTTGAAAAATGAGTCACTGGTAGAAAAAAAATAATAGCAGAATTGGAAGGAACTTTGGAAGTAATCCAGTCCAGCCTCCTGTTCATATATCAATATAACAATACAATCTTATGTACCTTTACAGAATCCCTTTTTCAGTTAGATTTTCACCCATTATCTCTAAATAGGTCCTGTTTCTCGATATCTTGCTCCAGTCCTTTGTAACTTCTTTTCCTTTCCTTCTTCCCTCTTTTTTTCTCTCTCCCCTTTTTACCCCCTTGTCTCTCTACCTCTATTTCTCTCTTCTGTATTCCCCTTTTCTGTTGCTTTCCAGTATTATACTTATTTTTTGAATTATTTTTCTTTTCTTTGGTTGTTTTTTTAAATCTTAAATTCTCCATTCTCTTTCCCCCATTTCCTTTTTCTTCCCCACATAAAATTACCTGTTCATTAAAGATGGCTTCATCCACCGCTGCAACCGCCTTCGGGAAAGGGACTAATGGCTAGCTGAGGAGGAGAGATGTGGCTCTCCTCAACCCTGCTTGTGGTCTCCCCCCTCTTCACCACCTCTATGGGGTGGCTTAGCCTCGAAACCAGCTGGCTCGGGGCGCTCCAGCGGCGAGCCCAGACCAAAACCACGCACGATCGCGGATTTCTGTCTGTCACTGAAGAGACTTCAAATTGGAAGCCTGAAACATGGTATGTTTAATAGGATGGTCTTTAATAGGATAGGCTGGGCTGTGAATAGGAAAGGCTGATGTATCTACAGAACATGGGACGGCCTATGAAAAGAGGACACTATCTACTCCTCTCATGGAGTGAGACTTTCAACAGATGTTCTCCAGATGTTCAGTCTGGGAGAGCTTTTATTTTTTTGGAAGTCTATATTTCTCACTAGCAAGAAACTGGAATCTCAAAAGCATCATAATGTGAAAGTGAAAAAAGTGAAAAAGAGGAACATCTATAAACTTCTTAATCATCTGGGTCATGGTTGTCCCACAGGTGTTTTTCCAAAAGGCAGCTATACATTCTTGGTTGTTGTTTTTCCTTGTTCCTTGGAAACTTTTCTCTTGGCATCCAAGAAGCTTCTCGAATGAGAACCGAAGAAGCTTCTTGGATGAGAAATGAAATGTTTTCAAGGAAATCTCCTTGGAGAAGAAGGAGAAGGAGAAGGAGAAGGAGAAGGAGAAGGAGAAGA